GTCCGGATTACCGAAAATAATTACATATTTCGCATTGTTTTGCTAGCAGTAACTTACAATATTCTCTACTCCAACTGTTCGAACAGAACTGCTCACATAAAACACACGAAATGTGTGTCATCGAGTAAGAATTGGATGGGGAGATTCATATCGCAACATGCTTCTGTGCAAGCAGACACGTAATGGGGACGGGTACCTTGACGGGAGGTGCGTTGGACTACTGAGCATGTCGGATTAAAAAACGTCGGACTATCGAGGGACAACTGTATTAGATACATCTCAACATTTATTAGATAATTCTTAATTTGATTTATTTTTGTATCATGCAAATGTCACTATGTGGAAGAATTATTTTTATTTTTTTTATATATTTTAGAAGTAATACATTTTAAAGTATAATAATTTAAATTTATTTTTTTTTTGTGATAAATTTTTTAATGTAAATTGCTTAATATGTAGAAAATTTCTGATATGGATGAATGGTTGACGGATTCTGATGATGACGAACGTGATGATGAGAATAATGACAATGATAAAGATGATGCTGGTGATAAACAGAAAAAGAAGAAAAAGAAAGAATCCATTACTGACAAAAAGAAGAAGAAGAAGAAGGAGCATGCTACTGATGATGAAGCAGTAGAAGAAAGTGATGAGGGTGATTTTGATGACAGAGAAGTGGATTATATTTCTAATAGTTCTGAGTAAGTTGTTGTACAAACTTCATTAATATAGTTTGATATACTTATTATTTATAAAATAAATAAATAGTGTATTGATAATTCTGCTAAATGTGAAAAGTATCAATGCAAAAAAGCTGCAAGAAACTTTTTTAGGTTTGTTAAAAAAACTTTATTTACAAGTATATCTTGTTTTAAAGCATTTTGCTAATATGATACTTTTCAATTATATATTTGTTGTTTTCAATGTTTGCATTGTTACTAAGAAAGGTATTTTTAGGGTTTTTTTATTTTTACTTTTGTATCTTTTTTATATCTAGAGCTATTTGTACTTAAAGCATATCACAATTTTTCTTTCACTTTCCAAGACATATAAAAGCCTAAAAAATACTTTCATTCATTAAGTCAATACTCACTTTATGATAATGATCTGGAACCTAACCTGCCATATTAGTAGGTATCCCTGTATTATGTAAATAAATATATTTTTACTATATTAAATTAAAATACCACTTTTCTGAATCCAACCTGAGAAAACAGTTTATCTTCTAAGTCCTAATAGCTTTGAGCCAGTTAAACTCATTTTCTAGAGCTGCATTAACTGAAACTCTCACTTTCAAATAAATTTCCAAGGAATTCAATGTTCTATTTATTTTCAAAATTTTTGATAATTTTATTATTTTTTTTCTTAAAGATTTTATTGATGAATCCATGATGGTTTTGAATATATATTTTTTAAGATAGTTTGAGCATGAAGAATGCAGCAAGCTAGGAAAAGACATAAAGGGACTCTTTTCTCCATTTGTTCTATTATATGGACTGGTGGAGTTTGAATTTTTATAAAACCTTAGTGAAATTGATGCAAAAAATATAGTATTTATAAAGAAACCTACCCTTTTTGATTGCATTATGAATGAGAAAGAAAAATGAGATGTAGTGGAGAAATCAGAAGCATATATAACACTAATAGAGAAGAAATTGTAAAAGCAAGCATATTTCTTTGGAGCAATGAGGAGAATCCAGAACCAGAGTCTAATTAATGAAAAGATGTTAAACTAGTAAAAATTAGTCCAGTTTGCTTAAGGTTTTTCACTATTTTTTAAAATTTCCATATGAATTTTTAGATTTAGATCTTTAGATCTAAAAGAATGTTTAGATCTATGAAAGGCAAAATGACGATGAGTTTAGTGAAGATGGCATTAGACACAGGAAAGGAAAAAAATGAGCAAGTTTGCAAAATTGCAGACCGGGCTGCAATTTTTAATCATATTTTAAATTAAATACTTTTCCTTTAACAATAGAGTCATCTATCTAACACCTTTCAGGGGAAAATGTTTGAATTGAAATAATGTGACATACAGTTTGTGTTGGAAGTTTATATATAGTTACTTATGGAAACGTTAGAGGCAGGAGGCCCTATCTGGTCTTATCTTTCATATATCTAACTCCATACAACAAGATGTCAGAATTCAGAAATAATTTACATCAGAGATGGGAATAAATTATCAACAACTTGGAAATGGGTAATCAGATGAGAAGAAAATGAAAATAAGGAAAATATTTTAATTGAAAAAAAAAACCATCTTTTGGATGTTTTCTTTCAATGAGGGCACTATGTAAAATTTATATGCATCGTGGTTTAGAATATACTTTTTTAAGAAAGAAAACAAAAAATAGAACAGGTTGGCTTCAGAAGATGAGCTTGAGTGAAAACACTAGAGTGTTAGGAGATGAAAGTTTAATTAAGAAACTAATTTTGAAGACCAATCTTAGAAAACAGTTCAAGTTTCATATGGAGATATTTTTTTGAAACTTATAAAAATTAAATAAAGAATCTTAATCAAGCTAGGTTAGCCTTAGTTAAATTTAAATGATTTATCAACCTACAATATCTAGTTTTTAAAAATACTTCATTAGGTGGGTTTTGAAATCTGTACATAGAAAAAACTATATTTAACTTAAGACAAAATAAAATATATCAATGAATAGAAATGATACTTATCTACAAACTGTTTTAATGAAATTTATTATTATACTAGGTTAATGAACCTTTCAATCTAATATATACATTTACTTTTATATTAATCTTTTAGAATTCATTCATTTATTCTTCAAAAAAAAAAAAATTAAATTATTAATTAATTCTTTCCACCCTGTGGGCACTAAGAGGGCGTTTTTTAACAAGCCTACAATGGGCAGCTGGGTGGTGAGGGATGAGGCATCTGGACACATCCGACATATCTGGATGGACTGCCCCCTGAAAAATTCCTGGGGAATAATCAACTTGTCCGGGTTCGATCCCGAGTCCCGCAGAGTGGTATGCTGCCACCTTGACCACTCAGTCATCTGGCCATCAATAATTTTACTTATATATATATGTGTAAATATCAAGTTGTCATTTAATTTTTACTGACAGTTATTACTTAGAATGACAAACATTTAAAATATTATGACTTGAATACAAGAAATGTATGTTTTTGATTGTAGATCAGAAGAAGAACCAGAAGAAGAAAAAATAAATAGAGAAATGAAAGGTGTTGAAGATGAGGAAGCATTGAGGAAATTAGATTTATCTGAAGATGAAGAAGAAAATGAAGAAACTAAAGAAACACCAGAAACTGAAGAAACTGTACCTGAAGAGAAACCACCAGTTAAAGAAAAAGTTAAAGCTAAAAAAGCTGAAGGTAATTGTTTTTATTATTAAAAAATAAAATAAAAAGCCACAGCTACATTAAAACCAATTCCAACAAGGAATTAATTTTTTTAATAATGCAATAAAATTTAAAAATAAAAAAATGAAGACATTGTTGATCTTGGTCAGAAATATCTGCAAAAAAGCTCAGAAGGTGACAATGCTTTCATAATCACAATTCTTAAAAACTATGTTTTAACTAGTGATGTGATGATAGCAAAAGTATTCAAACTTTCATTAATTAATGAATGTATCATGCTGTTAATTTTTCTAAACATTAAGCATAAGAATGGAAAGTGACTAGGAAATCCAGAATTGAACTTTTAAAAGAAACCCAAAAATTCTCCATTTATATATAGATATGCATGCTTTTATTGTGTAGTAGAAAATAAATTTGTATTCTTATTGCAGATAAAGTTAATATTGCAACACTACTCCAAATAAATAACAGGATAGTTTTTCTTTTTAGAGTAAAAAGGGAATTAGCTATGTGCCATCTTTGAAAAGTGTTTTGTTGGCTGATGCAACGACCAGGGGAAGGGGAAAGGGAAGGTAATGAGAAGATGCACTTCTTTTTTAATGCTTCTCACAATTGGCATGCTTCATAAATGCTGTAATTCCATCATATTTAACATTAAATGAGGTTCAGCAAATGATGCAATGAGCCAAATGAATATCATCAGCATCACAAGTTAACTAAGTTTTGAATTCATTCACTCGAGCCAGATTTACCTAAATGTACAGTGCAGTACAATAACATGTACAGTACTTATTCAAGGACAAGAAGAATCAAATGAATGCCTAGACTTGAGTTTTAAAAATTGATTTTTCAAAATGAAATGGCAATAAATTTAGCACAAACAATTAGTTTAAATTTTCAAATGTGTTTTGCACTTTTCTAAGTAAATGTATTACAGCATTATTTGTGAATCATAACAAACTTTTAATATTTTATGGGAAAATTCTTTTCCCATTATAAATAACTCTTAAAGATTTATTGCTGTCAGATATAAGAATATGTTAATGGCTATAGTTTATAAAATGATAGTTGTAAATTATACGAGGGTAATCTGAGAGAAAGTATATCAACAGTTATTGAATTTTTTCTTCCACACTCAACAGTGTGCACTGAGTTTGAATGGTTTCGGTGAGATGACAGTGAGGTTGCGGCTGAAGTTTTCATCTCTAAAACGTAAACATTGAGCACCACTATCTTGTAAGCAACATTTGATGTTCGTGTTTTACAGATGAAAACTTTGGCCACAACCTCGCTATTAATAAATGCTACAGAAAATTTTTTTTCCCAGCATAAATCCTTATGATTGTATCTTTGTTAATGTTTAATTGATCATCTTATAATGAATTTTAATTCTAGGTAAGTATCATTATGATGATGTTTACCTAGCTATATCTTATTTAATAATATAAAAGTTGTACATTGTTAAGAATTTATAGAAACTGGATTGGATAATCTTATTTCCATAATGCTTTTACTACTAGGACTTATTATAAACTATACAGTATGATTTTAATAAAATTGTTTTACAGTGGGATTGTGTATCAGCAGGTAGTGCTTAAAAAGAATTTTTGCATAAATTTATTTCAATGCTTGAATGATTACCTAGATACTTTTTCTCTTAATTGTAAATTATTGTATCACATTTTGCTCTGTATGTTCAAAACTATCAGACTGAAATTTTATTATACTACACTTTTTCAAGTTATTCACGTAACTTGAAAAAATATATGGAATCACAAAACTTATAAATTCTATTCGTCATAATGAATAGAATTTAGTAGTACTCCATGTATTGAGTATAAGAAGCTGGAAAAGCATGGTTTTTTTTTTTTTTTTGGGTTAAGAGTTAAATTCAGCAGACTAGGAGTAAGTTAACCATTTGCAAAACACGAGTTCCTATATATCAATCCTTGTAAAATTAAAGATCCTACTTAATTTTACTTTTGTTAAAATGTAAATAATGATGAATTATATATAAAATTTTGATTTTAAATTAAAGAATGCACTATGATAAATAATTTTAACTTTTTTCTATTTATTTTTTGTTTAGCTGCCTCTTCTGGTGAATCAACTTCAGAATCTGATGATTCTGATTTTGATGATTCAAAATTCCATTCAGCAATGTTCATGCAAGTAAGTGTTATGTACTGGTAACTATATTGAAAAGTAGAATTCTTACTGAAAAATAATATTTGTAGTATTTTGTTTTTATTCTTCTGTCAATTTAATGAAAATTTTTATGTAATTAAAATAATTTTAAGTAGTTTTTAATTTCCTGGTTTGCAATCACAATTTTAAATACAGTAGAGTTCATTTATAATTATCTGTTATTTAATAAATCTTTGCTTATCATAGTTTAATTATTTACCTAAAGCTAATAGTAGCTATAAGCATTTTAAAGCTGCATGTTCAGACTAATAAAGACATAAAATTACAACACCAGTTATCATTTAATTATTGTTTGCTCACAGCACAGTAGCATATATTTTATTTAATGAATAAATTAAGATTTATTAAATAAGATAAAATTTAAATACCATATTATATGAACACAAAGTTATAAATCCTTTAATTATTATTATTTTAGAAATCTAATAAAAACATATTGTTTACTTGTAGAAACCTAAGAAAAATGGGTCAGATAATAGTGCCAGTAGCAGTCGTGCAAATACACCTACGAAAATGCTTGAAGGTATTTTTCTACTTCAAATAGTTTTTTATTATTAATATTAAAAGTTATTTTCAAATATATTTTACAATCGTGTATTCAGCATGTAAATTTAATTATCTTATATCAAGCACTAGAACAGTAATTTATAGAAAAACTGTTATTGATCTCCATCTTATAAAAACATTTCAAATAAAATAAGTCACAGCTAAATTAGCTTTCTATCTGAAATCTTTAAAGTAAATGAATAGAACAGAACAATAAATTATACAGGTATACCTCGCCTTACGTCGGTAATTGGTTCCAGGAGAATGACGTAAGTTGAATTTACTTGTCTCCGAATCTACTTATCACTAGGCTAAACCATAAATTACCATTCCCGGTTCTGTATTTTATTTATTAATGCATTTTTAATAATATATGGTTAATAAAAATCTATTTTACATTTACAAACAAATAAATTTTAGTTTTTAATATAGTAAGGAAAAAAAGTAATCTAAATTTAGAAATGCATGTACTGTAAATACAGTACATACTTGTATATATTTTAATATGATTTTATGTGCTTTAAACATTTTTCTAGTGATATTACGACTTCAATATTTGTGGCGGACAGACGTAAAGACAACTTAAACTTGATTTTTATTCTTCCGTATACTTTTTTGACAAACGACGTATAATCGGGAACGACGTAACTTGAAACGACGTAAGTCGAGGTATGCCTGTATATGTAAATTTTCATAGGAAACAATAACATTTGGGTTTCCTGGTGAGAAATTTTGTATCATTCTTGGAGTCAAGGCAGAAAAGAGTTAACATAAGAAAATAACCATAAAGGCTGTCATCTTAGATTGTCTCTCTCTTGATAACAATGAAACAAGTTCTTTCTTGTTGGGTCGACTTTTCGTATGTTTCTTTGTGCTTGCTGTAAAAGCTTAGAAATTCAACATATCAAATGCCTCTACCATCTGAGGTTTGTTGGGATGCTTTATTAAGCAATCCCAAGGAAGAGTTATCTCTCTGCTGAGGTGTAAATTTCATGGTCGTGTATACTTGTATGCATAGCAAGGGCTAATTTCTGAAGATGCAAGTCTCAATTTCAATTGTTTTTCTCCCCATATGCTGATATCATCCTGCCTAGTGGATGACACAATTATCCTAGCTTCACACAGGAACAGTGAATGCTTACAGGACATATGCAACATTTTCAATAACATTCACCAGTGGAGTATTAAGCATAGGCAACCCATTAACAGACAAATGAGAAATCCTGAAAACTGGCACATTCATACCAACTATCATAAAGCTTACCCTTCAAATATTTGCTTTTTTCTGTGAGTGCCTAACTTCACATCAAATATGTCACATCAAAGCTAAAAAGACAGCCAACACCCTCATTAGTATTGCTAGGCCCTAATGCTACTAAGCTTATTTACAGAAGTGCAATTCAGCCAGCCACATACATAGAGCTGTATGGTAAAAACTGTTTAAAGGATTGTAACTCTTTGCATTTGTAAGGCTTATGGGACCGCACCCACTAATGCCCTTTTGGTAATGTCAGGGTTGACCCTTATCAACTTTAAAATTAAATGCATTATTTGACTGGAAATCCTCGTCACCTTACCCTGGCAAGATTTCCCCAGTTTGACCTTGGTTGATGATATCAGGGATTGTAATTGTAAGTTCGAAAGGTACTTTTGTCGATGCTGAATTTTTTGATGTTTACTTTGAAGATCCGGGTGATCATCCCATATTTAGGATTTACACTGATGGTTCCAAGATGAGTGACAATGTGGGTGCTGCTTTTGTAGTTTACTCCGATTTAGGCTGTGTGCTTCACACAGGCAGAAACTTTAGCTATTTACATGAGCTTAATTCACATTAGGCGTAAAAAGGGCACTTACTACAGTCTTACAGATAGTGTAAGTACTGTCTTACACTATCACATTTATTCTGACAGTAGGGTAGTTTTACACAGGATTGCAAAGTCTGATATTCGTCCGTCGCTTAAAATTCGTCCGTCCCAGGTCATGTGGGCAGTTCAAGACTTTTTGCAGCTTGTTCGTCTTGCCAAACAAGCTGCAGTCTTCAGTCATTAGTACTTTCAGTTACATTCCTACCTCGTACGTCAAGAAACAAATCTTCATTCTCTGGCGAGACAGCTGGGACTATGACATCGCTGGTAGGCTCACCTACAGTTTTATCCCAGAGGTTGACACTATTGTGATTCTTCGCCACTTTTACCCTAGTTACTAAGTGAACTGGTGTTTGATCCTCTTGAATGCCACAATCACATTAGGGATAGTTTAATGAGAGCTGCTATTCTTGAAGGGTACAACTGGCCTTGCAACCTTCACTAACTCATTCACACATGTACAATCAATGTTCTATCATCTCGCACTGGAGGCATGGATGGCAATTAGCTTTCCCTGCCTTTCAACTTTGAATTTAGACTGAAAAAGAAGACAGAAAATAAGACCTAAAATACAGTTATTTAACTTAAAACTAGAACTGTTTAAAAAATTTTGGGGTCATTGAGTGCTGCCACAAATAGCTAAGTAGTATTAAGTAGATATGACAGACAGTGTGAATAGCAAATGAACACAATCAGTGATGTTTGCTGGACTACGGCCTTTCAGCCTAAAAACTGCATGCCAACAGTAGAGGAAGGTGGGATCCCTCTGAATGGCGTATGTATGACTACAGTATCCTCTTTTCTGCCAGCTAAACACCTCATGTACACCTAATGTTCTATTTACTTGTTCTGTGAGTGATATAGCTAACTACACCTTAAATCAATATATTAAGTTTTCACGTACCGCACTTCACCTCACTCATAATGGGCTGTGATATCTTTAAGTGGGGATATGCTGGTTTTTGTTGTATCCATTTGGTGGTCAGGCATGTGTGGCAGCTGGCTAAATATTGGCCTGGTATGAATAGAGAAATTAAACAATATCACCATTACCCGATTTACTTGATTTTCTTGTCGTCAGATGGTCATTCAATTCCTTGAAGACATCAATGAGTTGTGGATATTTGCAGGAAGAATTATGAGTTTGTAATGTTGCAACTTACTGATTAGTTCTGATGCCAGTCTTGAATTGGTTGGTATGTAAATATTTGTATAAACTTTTCTAGTCCTAGTCACTTTGCTGAGCATGGATTATCTCTATTACTACTTACAATGGCTAGCAACTTTGTTGTAATTGACTGTCTAATAGAGAAATTAGCAAGATAAATTATTGTAACACCTACCTGGGAGATTTTACTTGACACAGCCCTATGATGGCTGTAAAGTTCTAAAAAATTTGAATTTGGTTCCTCTAAATTTTTCAACAACCAGGCATTCCAACTTGGTGTGTTCTACTTGCATATGTAATGGGTCCATCCTTTGTCAGGAAAGACCATAGTCCAACCATGCTAATATTGCTGTAAAGAGTAAATGGAATGTCTAGAGGAGTTAAAAGATATAAGGATTGAAAAGACTTCTCATATTCGGGGCTAAAATTCCATTTGGTTCTTTTGTGTCTTAATTGATACACTGACAGCTTGTACTTAGGATTTCAGGTAAATAAAGAGGAATTGTCCAATTGACAAAAATGACACTTAGCTAATTTAATTGTCAGTCCCATCTCTTGACAATCTTTGCAAGACTTCCTCAATATGTTGCAGGTGTTCTGAAAAGGTAAAAGACTGATTATGTTATCTAAACATACCTCACAATATTGAAAGGTTGCTGGGGCATTTTTCAAGCCAAATGGCATTACCAGAAATCCTTTCGTAAAGTCCTTTGTTAGGGATAGGCCCAAGACAAGTATTATCACTTTCTTTTACAGGCAATTACTACAGGAACTGACGACCTGTAGTAATGAACTTGGCATTCTTCAGCAAGTTCGGTAATTCTGAAATGATAGGCAATGGAAATTTGTGTGGATTATTGTAAAGTGAATAGGTTAATAATAACAGACAGAGTCTCCAGTATTCTGTTTTTTTTTTTTTTTTTTTTTTTTTTTTTTTTTTTTTTTTTTTTTTTTTTTTTTTTTTTTTTTTTTTTTTTTTTTTTTTTTTTTTTTTTTTTTTTTTTTTTTTTTTTTTTTTTTTTTTTTTTTTTTTTTTTTTTTTTTTTTTTTTTTTTTTTTTTTTTTTTTTTTTTTTTTTTTTTTTTTTTTTTTTTTTTTTTTTTTTTTTTTTTTTTTTTTTTTTTTTTTTTTTTTTTTTTTTTTTTTTTTTTTTTTTTTTTTTTTTTTTTTTTTTTTTTTTTTTTTTTTTTTTTTTTTTTTTTTTTTTTTTTTTTTTTTTTTTTTTTTTTTTTTTTTTTTTTTTTTTTTTTTTTTTTTTTTTTTTTTTTTTTTTTTTTTTTTTTTTTTTTTTTTTTTTTTTTTTTTTTTTTTTTTTTTTTTTTTTTTTTTTTTTTTTTTTTTTTTTTTTTTTTTTTTTTTTTTTTTTTTTTTTTTTTTTTTTTTTTTTTTTTTTTTTTTTTTTTTTTTTTTTTTTTTTTTTTTTTTTTTTTTTTTTTTTTTTTTTTTTTTTTTTTTTTTTTTTTTTTTTTTTTTTTTTTTTTTTTTTTTTTTTTTTTTTTTTTTTTTTTTTTTTTTTTTTTTTTTTTTTTTTTTTTTTTTTTTTTTTTTTTTTTTTTTTTTTTTTTTTTTTTTTTTTTTTTTTTTTTTTTTTTTTTTTTTTTTTTTTTTTTTTTTTTTTTTTTTTTTTTTTTTTTTTTTTTTTTTTTTTTTTTTTTTTTTTTTTTTTTTTTTTTTTTTTTTTTTTTTTTTTTTTTTTTTTTTTTTTTTTTTTTTTTTTTTTTTTTTTTTTTTTTTTTTTTTTTTTTTTTTTTTTTTTTTTTTTTTTTTTTTTTTTTTTTTTTTTTTTTTTTTTTTTTTTTTTTTTTTTTTTTTTTTTTTTTTTTTTTTTTTTTTTTTTTTTTTTTTTTTTTTTTTTTTTTTTTTTTTTTTTTTTTTTTTTTTTTTTTTTTTTTTTTTTTTTTTTTTTTTTTTTTTTTTTTTTTTTTTTTTTTTTTTTTTTTT